AACAGATTTATCAACTGCAGTCTTGAACCTCAGTGGGAAGATACAAGCCAAACAATACCAAGGGTTGTAAGTTTTCTATAAAAAGATTTAGTAGCAATTCATTTGGTGTTTGTTGTAACAAAAAAGTAAAGTGTAACTCAATAACATCCAAACCATTTTTCGAATAAACTGACAAGGAAAAATTGTTAAATATGAAACTGTTTTGTTGCCATCGAAGACCATCAACTGTTGGTCAATATGAAATCACTTCGTACTACACAATTTTATTAAAATTGGGGACCTAATATTAAACGAGATTAATACGTGATTGTTGAAGGCATCAATACATTTTATAAGGCCAGTACTTTTATTTATTTACCACGAGTTTGTGAACTGAATCGAACAAAAAGTTGGGATTTCAACTTTGAAGAAACTATGATATTATTTAAATAAAGAGCCAGGAAACAGTGTTTCTCATTCTTGATATGTAATGGTAGTATATAAAGGTCATCATAAGGTATTCTCCTTACTTCTGACTTTATAAGTTAAGGCATGTATAACAAGGCAACAAACTAAAAATTATCAAAAGTGTGGTTTGTAGAGATTTTATTAATTTTTTAGTTGAATTCATGAGTCAACTGAAGCTGAGCAGTTCCATGCTAAAACGAAATGGCTATTCAGTGCTTCCAGGTTTTCCATGGTGGTTCTTTTCTGCAGCTGGTTTCTTTATACTCCGTAAGGAGACATTCAGTACAACACTGTTCTTCATAGAAACAGAACTTGTAATGTCAACCTCCAAGTGCCCAGAGTAGAGATCATAGTTGGTTTTTTGTGTAGGATGGTTTTCGTGAGGCGGAATATTTCTTTTCGCTTACAGCATGAACGAACAGTTTTGTTTTCAACTATAGAGTTATTATATCCCAATCTCTGGTGTCGCGTGGTTACTTTTGTAGCATTTTGTTCATTTTTACTAAACATTCTAGCAACTAACTAAAAATTATCAAAAGTGTGGTTTGTAGAGAATTTATTAATTGTGTAGTTGAATTTATGATTCATTTGAAGCTGAGCAGTTCCATGCTAAAACGAAATGGCATTTCAGTGCTTCCAGGTTTTTCATAGTGGTCTAGGTCCAATTGACTCATGAATTCAAATATAAAAATAACTAAAACTTAACAAACCAATATTCGGTTTAGTGCTTTTTTAAAAAAGAACCTAATTTCATTCAATAATAGTTCGTTTCCCATAACAAATTATTCGAATTTCGAACCATAATCTTCTGACATATTGACTTGATAATACCAAGTTCAGAGATTTTTCCATTTTCAGTCGTGAAATAATTTAAAAATCACTAGTTTATACTTATTGTCAATAGTTTATCTTCTTATATCCATTTTCACAGGTTGAAATCATGAGTCAATTGAAGCTAGACCACCATGGAAAACCTGGAAGTACTGGACGGCCATTCTGATAATAATTGACTACTCACTAGTGACTGACTTCAAGAGATACTCCTAGAGTTCTAGTCAGAAGCCTTTACCAGTGGAGTTCAACCAGGTCTGTTGTGAGATATCAGCTCACTGAAGACAATGGTGTACGGTGGCGCAACTTCGCGGATTGGTTGAAGTTAGACATTAACACCGTTGGATGCCGGCTCAGTGATCTAGTGATTAAGTGCTCGCGCGCGAAATCAGTAGGTCCTTGGTTCGAATCTCGTTGGATGCGGGATCGTGGATGCTGAGGAGTCCCATACTAGGGCGAAACGGCCGTCCAGTGCTTCCAGGTTTTCCATGGTGGTCTGGCTTCAAATGACCCATGATTTCAACCTGTGAAATTTCTAAGAATCTCCACAAACCCATTCTGATTATATCCATTTTGTTATAGAAATATTACATAATTTAACTAATTAGTATTTTATAACTATTAAATGTAATTAGATGTAATATCCAGATAATAGGTTTAATATATTTATTCAAAGTCTTAATTTCAATTGTATAATTAAAAAGAAATATTGATACTTCAAATAATTATGAATATTATAAATGATATTATATGATCTAATTGTTTGAACATCAACCTGGCAATACACTGTAGATTGAAGTAAGTGTATATATGTAAATCAGATGAGAATGTTTCGATACATTATCTTTGAATAAGAATATATGATACTTTTTGTAATGCTTCTTTTTTATATAAAAATACATAATAATTATTAGATAACTACAATAGCATATAATGAAAAGAAAACAACAAGTAGTAAGTATATTTAAATGACAGTTCATTGTAATCTTAATAAAATGAATGGATTATTTATGATATTACATGAACGGAATAGTAAACATTATAACAGATAAAGGAATAGTATGTATTCAAATGGAATTTCATATTCTATTAAAAATATATTATTGTTTGTATAATAATGTTATAATAATATATTCACGATCATTCATGTAGTTCTATTGTTTCAATTATCGTACATTAGAATATTATAAAGTTTAGTATTAAATTAATGGTTTAATTTATTGAAATAAGTACCTAATGAATTTATTTCATTTATAACTAATTAGATTTATTCTAATGATGAAAACTATAAACAAGTTACTAAATGAAGGATGAGAAAAAGAATTGTCTTTGAATCATATCTTTAACATGTGAAATATCTTCATAACTATAAATATGAATGTTAAATAGGGGTATTGAGTTATTATATAAGAGGTGAATTATACATTATCAATTGAAGAAACTTAATGGGTTATCAAATTATGTTTAACTTCCTTATGTTTTATGTCAGTTTCTTTATGAAGTTTTATTCTTTAAATTTTCAACATTACCTATCCTACGTCTAGTAATCATAATTCATAATAACTTGTTATAATGAATTTCACAAAGTAATCCATAGTTTTGATAGAGTTTTGTTCTCTCTCAAATCATCCAGCTCAGAGAACAAAACTTCATCAAAATCATCCGCCTGAGCTACAAATCTTCTCCATCATCTCAAATTCATAGTTTAGTTCAGAACGTTTAACTTGATTACAGCCTTTTTCGAGCATGTGACTTTCTTATTTTGTAAATGTAAATAAATCCAAGCTGAAAAATAAATTTTTGTATAAAATATGTGAGACAAAGTTGATCGTATGACTGGTTTCAATATTATAAAGATCGTTCAGCCCAAAAAGTGACAGGAGTCGGGTTTTGTTTTCCGCAAGTTATGCTCTAGTCGTTAAGATACATTAAGTCAGTGTTTAACAGGAGTTGTTAGATATAAAGTTTAAAATCGGTATATCATATAATAATCCAGAAAGTTTAACTTTACGAGGTAATATTTTCATAAAAATTAAAGTTATGTTGCATTGCGTTTAGAATAAATACTCTTTATTCATCTGATTCAGTTTATTTAAGTCAAGACTTTATTGATATTCTTAATAGTACCTGGATAATTTGGTTATGATACTAAGAGTAATATGATAGGTACACCTGTCATATTCTGTATCGTCAACTAACTACTAAAGTATGTGAACAGATCTAGATAGCCATAATGATTTGCCTTTGTTATGATACATTGTTAACTAACTAATTGTAAATCGATGAGTTAATATGAGTTAATATTCTTCAAACGCTTTTGAATAAACTCACGATTTATTTATATCTCAGTCAGTCTAAATGAAATTGTCTCTGGTTTAGCAGCAAATGGTTCTGTAACATTTAGTTGTTCTATTTTACAGGGAAATTCTAGTCAATAGCTTTTGACATGCAATTATATTCGTTAGTGATGATAATTTTATCCAATTACGATGTGCTAAATAAAGGGATATTCAGAATCTCATAAATAAGTTAGATGTTTTAGTTCGTTACTTTTCTTCCAATCCATTTTATTTGAAATTTTTCATGTTTAAGTTACTTAATCAATTCGAGTGAGAAATCGATAGTTATTTTGGGGCGCGATTAAGACTCAAACATTTCGTAAAACTGTTTCTTTACACTTATTTATTATTTTTTGGAGGAATATTCCAGGCTAAAAAAGAAACACCACTGTCGATCCCATGTCAAATCATACATCTTTAAAATCTTCAATAATCGAAATCAATATCTGCAAATAGAAAAACATTTCTATAGTTGAGAATGCAACAGTATACTATTATTCTTATAAAGTAAACTATTAATTGCATAAACAGACCTGGAATTTATAGTTAATTATTTCTGAATTTTGATAAAAAATCACTGTTAAAATAGTTTTGAGTTCATTAACAAAATTGATTTATAAATTTTTGACCGAGATATATTTCAAAAAGATATATATAAGCAAGAGATTATTTTAGACTCTCCAACGAAATCTGGGTTCTAGGTTAAACTATAACTAGCAATCTAGGTCAATGCTGAAATGAGTGAGTGAAGAGATAAAATTATCAACGTTCATTTTCAAACCATTTACCCAATTGAGTACATAATATTCTTGCATTGATCATTTGTACTATTTAACCTTGGATTAATTTTGATCTGAAGAAGTGGCTTACACTGAGTCACGAAATGTCAGAAAATTTAATTTTTTTACTCAGTGGGATATTACAAATATATATTATATTATTTTATTTATTTACATTTACTCAATGTTGTAATCATATGACTGCAAGTAGAATAACAGGTTTAACAAACCCAACCGTAAATATCTTAGTTCATAACCACAACATAGACTTAGATACTCAAAATATCTTAGTTTAAAAAGAAAGCCTCTCTTCATTTTTCACAGTTACACAAAATGTCAAACACATGAGTGTAGTATTCTAGTAAAAACAATAACAGCAGAATACTCAATGTCGTGGTTAAATCCAGTTCAATTATAAGTTTCTTTTTCGATAAAGTAACTTAACGGGTTGAAAACTATAAACTGTAATACCTAGATTCATCATAAAACATTTGTGATCTAATAGTTATTGTGGGAGCTATTTCATTTCGTTCTTATTCGAAGCAACACCTAGTTGAAAAATATATGAATACTTGCTTAAACATATACTTGGTTGGATATAAACAAGGAATTGAAAAGAAATATAATAAATGAATGTTTGTAATCATATTATATTTAGATTGTTTTAAAAACAGTAACATTCTTCTCTTCACATTTGAATGAAATGAAGTATTGAACAGGCATTAGTAATGAGCTAAAATACAAAAAATAAAATGAACTTTTTATAACTTCCATTATATCACTTAAATGTACATTATGATTACAATAAAATGGTAAATTTAATGCATAAAAACCAATTCAGTTTAATTGTGTTGTATTTGAAGATTGTTTAACAGAGAACAAAATCGACTTATAGACTTAGTTCGATATTTTGAACAGGTATAAAATTTTTGGGATAAAAGCAAAAACAGAACTTTGTTTCAATAAAGTGAATGTTCCAGTCATTTTCAACGACGATAAATAATAAATTATTTAAGGTTTTTTCTTTAAGGCATGAAAATATTTCGGTATTTTAAAAGTTGCCATTCAGACATTTAGTAAAAGACGAACAGGGCAAAGAAATTTCCTTTCAATAAGTTTCTCGTCATGACTCTAATATATATATATATATATATATATATATATATATATATATCAATGATTGAGATCATGAGTCATTTGAAGCTAGATCACCATGGAAACCTGGAAGTACCGGACAGCCATTTCGTTCTATTGTGGGACTCCTCAGCAATGCGCCCCCATGATCCCACCTCGCGAAATTCGAACCCAGGACCTATCAGTCTCGCCCGCGAACGCTTAACATCTAGACCACTGAGCCGGTATCCAACGGTGTTAATGTCTAACTTTAATCAATCCATGAACTTGAGAGACACATACACCATTGTCTTCTGTGAGTTACTATCAAACTGTTGGGGACGATAGATCCCCAAACTCATATTTTTAAATTTTATCTTATCGATCACCGAATCGATTAAATGTTAGATATTTTTATTGGGGTCAATTCATGAACTATCGATTAAAGGCGCAAATAGGTCAATTGATGAACTATCGATTAAATGTACAAATAGGTCAATTGATGAACTATCGATTAAATGTTCAAATAGCAGTCAATTGTTGATTAATGTTCAAAAATCTTCCATGACAATATCGATTGTAAATATTTGTATAAATACGCTTGACTTGTATGCTTGATTATCTGACTTGTTATCTGCTGTTTGTCTGTAGAATACACTTTCTACACCTTACCCAGACTTCTTGATCGAGTTAGCAGAGTTGGGGACAACGAACCAGAGTAGCTATCGAGTCGCTGAATCATTGATCCTTCGTTCGTTCGAGTAAGACGCATCAGTAATAGCATTCAAGCAATAACGAAACATAACAAATTGGCGACGGTGGTTTTGAATTATGGACCCTGCCAAACTTGAACTGTTACTTGAACAGCAGCTAAAATTGATGCAAATGTTAATGGAGACCAAGGTTACGCCTCCCTTACAGCCAAGCACGTCTAGTTCAACCACGGCACCATCAGTAGATGGCATCGCAAATAGCATAGCTGAATTTCATTACGATCCTGATTCTAATGTTACTTTTGAGATGTGGTTCAGGCGATATGAAGATCTATTTAAATTTGATTTCGCCAATCAAGATGATGCTTGGAAAGTGCGGCTGCTACTTCGTAAACTGGGTGCAAATGAGCTGGACAAGTATTGCAATCTGATCTTGCCGTTGAACCCACGTGACCGATCATTTGCAGACACAGTTCAAACATTAATCCAACATTTCGGCGATAACTCGTCACTGTTTAATACTCGTTATCGTTGCTTGAAGCTAACTATGAACGAAGATGATGATTTTCTTACGCATGTGGGCGTCGTCAACCGCGAATGCGAACGCTTCCGGTTAAAGTCCTTGACTGAAGATCAGTTTAAGGCCCTGATACTTATTTGCAGCCTACAGCACCAAAAGTTCAGTGACTTACGAACAAGGCTATTAAGTCGTTTAGATCAAGAGCCAAAACTCACCCTGAACGATATAGCTAATGAATATCAACGTCTCATCAATCTGCAACGAGACACTTCTATGGTCCAGAGTGGTGGATCTAGCCGATTTGAAGTACGAGCGGTGCAACAGACACCTCGCAAAAACAAACACGTCCCCGCTTCATCCAGTCCATCTCACTCCAGCTCTAGACAACAGACTAAAGCAACTCCTCCTGCTCCTTGCTGGCAATGTGGTGCATGGCACTACGTTCGAAACTGCCCATTTAATCAACATCGATGCAAGAAGTGTAAGGTTATTGGTCATAGGGATGGTTTTTGTCTGACGAAGAAGACTCCAAGTCAATCCAGAAATACCAAAAAGACCCTTCCTAGATCCCGCACCAATTCATTGAGCTTAGTATCTTCGTGTCAAAGCTCATCACCGTGTCAGAGAAAATTTATTACTGTTAACATTAATGGGCATTCATCTAAATTGCAAATAGATACAGCATCAGATGTCACTATCCTTTCTCGTAAGACTTGGATCAAAATGGGCAGCCCAAACTTGCAGCATACAACGCAAAAGCCTCGTACTGCGTGTGGTAACTACCTTCACCTGCTAGGACAAATGGAATGTACAGTCACTTTCCGCGATTTGGCATTTGTTGGGGTATGCTACATAACGCCAGCTGACCTAAATTTGCTCGGGTTAGATTGGTTCGACCACTTAAATTTAGCTGATGTCCCGTTGAATACCATATGCAACCTGGTATCACAACCCCAACTACGACAACAACCACACGACTTGGAAGCTTATACGAGGAACCTAATGACGCAGTTTTCAACTATTTTCCAACCTGGATTGGGTCGCTGCTCTGCCATGAAAGCAACACTTCGATTGAAAACTGGGGCTAAGCCTGTTTTTCGCCCAAAGAGACCTGTCCCTTATGCAACATTACAAACAGTAGATGAAGAGTTGAACCGCCTTCAACAACAAGGAGTTATCACTCCCGTTTCCTACTCTGCATGGGCAGCACCTATTGTGGTTATTAAGAAGGCCAACGGCACGATACGTATATGTGCTGACTTTTCAACAGGTCTCAATGCAGCTCTAGAACAACATCATTATCCCCTGCCTGTTCCCGCAGACCTATTTACCATGCTGAATGGGGGAAGATTTTTCGCTAAGCTGGATCTAGCTGATGCTTATTTGCAAGTGGAAGTAGATGAAGCATCAAGAGAGCTGTTAACTATCAACACTCATCGTGGTTTGTTCCAGTATAACCGTCTACCTTTCGGAGTCAAAACTGCACCATCTATTTTCCAGCAACTAATGGATACCATCCTATCAGGTATCTCGGGAGTCGCGGCTTATTTGGATGACATTTTAATTGTAGCAACGACATTAGAACAGCTACGAGAACGCACGACATTGGTACTGCAACGCATCAGTGACAACGGTTTCCGGTTACGCCTAGAGAAATGCCAGTTTTATTTGCAGTCGGTAAAATACTTGGGGTTCATTTTCGATGCCGACGGCCGCAGGCCGGATCCTGAGAATATCCGAGCTATCAAACTGATGCCAACTCCTACTAATGTCTCGTCACTACGTTCCTTCCTGGGACTTGTCAGCTATTACTCAGCGTTCGTTCCATCGATGCATGATATTCGCGCTCCACTGAATAGCTTACTGCAGAAGAACAGCTCTTGGAACTGGACTAAACAGTGTGACGCTGCCTTTTGTAAACTGAAGTCCATTATTAGTTCGGAATTGCTGTTGACACACTACGATCCAGCCATGCCGATCATCGTAGCTGCAGACGCTTCCGCCTATGGCCTAGGCGCTGTTATCTCCCATCAGTTCCCGGACGCATCGGAAAAAGCCGTTATGCATGCTGCCCGCACACTAACCCCAGCAGAAAAAAAATACAGCCAGATAGAAAAAGAAGCTCTTGCGCTTGTGTTTGCTGTGCGCCGTTTCCACAAGTTCCTGTACGGTCGGAGATTCACGCTTCTCACAGATCACAAGCCTTTACTCGCAATATTCGGGTCGAAATCTGGCATTCCAGCCCATTCAGCAAATCGTCTTCAGAGATGGGCCTTAGCACTCTTGGGGTATGATTTCGAAATCCAGTACCGACGCACTCAACAATTCGGTCAGGCGGATGCCTTATCACGGCTCATTAGTGACCAGTTGGCGGCTGAGGAAAACACGGTAATCGCATCTCTGCTAGCGGAAGACCACGCCGAATGTTATCTGACGACCGCAATACGAACTTTGCCGGTATCTGCAGTGGACATACAAAATGCTTCTAAGAGCGACCCCATCATCAGGATGACTATGAGCTATGTCACCAACGGTTGGCCGTCTAAGAAGTTTGATGGTGATATAAAACAGCTGTATCAGCGGCGGGATTCTCTATGCATTGTAAACGACTGCTTGATGTTCGGAGAGAGAGTGGTTGTGCCAGAATCCCTTCGTGCAAAAGTGCTGAAACAGTTCCACCTTGGTCATCCGGGGTTAGACGAATGAAATCCATAGCCAGGAGTCATGCGTATTGGCCGCTAATGGATCAACATATAACAGAATTGGTTGGAAAATGTATGCGGTGTCAGCAAGCAGCAAAAGTAAACGCCAAAGTTCCACCAGTTTCATGGCCACAACCTGATCATCCTTGGTCCAGGATACACGTCGACTTTGCAGGCCCGATTAACGGAACCATGTATCTAGTTGTAGTCGACGCCCTTTCGAAATGGCCTGAAATCAACCCTATCATACCGCCAACAACGAGTAAAACAATACAGATCCTCACAGAAATTTTCTCCCGAAATGGTATACCAGATGCCATTGTATCTGATAACGGTTCACAGTTTACCTCAAGCCAATTCCAGTCATTCTGTCAACGACTAGCCATAAAGCACTTACGCTCGCCACCATACCACCCGCAGTCAAATGGGCAAGCAGAAAGGTTTGTGGATACGTTCAAAAGAGCCTTGGCTAAAACAAAAGGGGAGGGGACGCCAGCAGACGCGTTGCAAAATTTCTTATACGTGTATCGAACAACACCAAATGAGACGTTGCCTGAGCGAAAGTCCCCAGCAGAGATCCTAATGGGAAGAAGACTGAAAACGATCCACAGTCTGATGCATCCAAGTAATGCACCGACACCAGTACGGACAAAGTTTGAAAAGCGATCCACGTACGAAGTGGGATGTCCGGTGTTTGCCCGTGATTACAGACCGACCCATAGTCCATGGACAGAAGCGCGAGTGGTCAGAAGAATTGGTCGAGTCATGTACGAAGTTGAGGTAGGCAGCGACAGGTGGCAACGCCATCGGAATCAGTTACGCAAACGGTTAGCCCCAGACCGCCCATCAACAGAATCAAATATTCCTCTTGACATCCTGCTAGACACATTCAACTTACCGGCAACCCACCAAAAGAAAAACCTCAACAACAAGCTGAAACACGTCACAGACGGTGGCCTATCCGAGAACGGCGAGCAACAGTCAGGATGCAGGTTGACCCCAGGAAAGCCCGCTATTAAAAGGGGAGGAGTGTTGGGGACGATAGATCCCCAAACTCATATTTTTAAATTTTATCTTATCGATCACCGAATCGATTAAATGTTAGATATTTTTATTGGGGTCAATTCATGAACTATCGATTAAAGGCGCAAATAGGTCAATTGATGAACTATCGATTAAATGTACAAATAGGTCAATTGATGAACTTTGTTGATTAATGTTCAAAAATCTTCCATGACAATATCGATTGTAAATATTTGTATAAATACGCTTGACTTGTATGCTTGATCCTGACTTGTTATCTGCTGTTTGTCTGTAGAATACACTTTCTACACCTTACCCAGACTTCTTGGTCGAGTTAGCAGAGTTGGGGACAACGAACCAGAGTAGCTATCGAGTCGCTGAATCATTGATCCATCGTTCGTTCGAGTAAGACGCATCAGTAATAGCATTCAAGCAATAACGAAACATAACACAAACAACAGACCCGTTTGAACTCTACTGGTTACTGTTTCTCACTAGAACTCAAGGGAATACTTCTTAAAGCCAGTCACTGGTGAGCATATGTTGATTAATATCAGCTTTTTTGTGGATACTGTAGTAATTTCATTGGTTGGGATCATGAATTTATTGAAGTTAGATATTAACATCATTGGATACCGGCTCAGTGGTCTAGTGGTTACGCGTTCGTGCGCGAGACTAATAGGTCCTGGGTTCGAATTTCGCGAGGCGGAATCGCGGATGCACACTGCTTAAGAGTCCCACAATAGGACTGACTGGACATCCAGCGCTTTCAGGTTTTCAATGGTGGTCTAGCTTTAATTAACTCATGATCTCAACCATTGAAATTACTATAGTATCCACAAAAAACACTTCTGATATATATTACAACAAAATGATGCTAATCAGATTGTGGAGTAACGTTATAAGTATTATATCAAAATCATTATAAAGCAATATTACATGATTAATTGAGTAATTAGAGGGAAGAAGACCATAATCACTAGAGCAATCATTTGTAAGGATCAAAATATTCAGTTAAATGGTTCTTAGATTACGTAATATTTAAAATAAGAGATAACAAAATAGTTTAGTAAAAGTCGATTTTATAGTAGTTATTTAAGAGTCAAGAGACGAATATTGAGGAGATATGAAATATGAAATTGAAAAAAATTAGAAAACCGTTTGAATATTTTTGAAAGGAATGGGGGTTTATCAAAATTTAGCTAAAACACAATTCAATATCGATGGTGAAGATGGAGAGAGGAGTTGTATAAACTTTTTGTGGACATAGATATTAAGTTTACGGATTTCGATCACGATCACTTCAGCAATATATAGAAAAAAACTTGGCAACCATGAGGTAAATTTGATGGATATCCTTCAAAGTCATATTCAGTTCAAGTTGGTGTTCTGCTTCCACCAAATAAGCAAGAATAAGACTCGTAATCACTCTTACTTATCCTTTCCTCAACCAATCCGGATAATGTTCTAGTGTATGTAAACGAATTTTACGCCCTACATCAATGGTTCAGGACAAGTAGATGAATATATAAATACTCATGGATGTTGTGAATTCAAGTAATTTGTTTCACTTGTAGTTTTCATTATCAAATTCTTGCTTACCTTTAGTTCATGTGTTTGGTCAGTAAACTAATTGTTAGAAGAAAGAGACATTCTTCATATGAAGGAGTAATGAACCAAACTACAATTCTTGTGATTAGTTATTTTCTGTACAAGGCTCTGTAGTTGTAATTTATTCATCTAGTTCGTTCTTTAAAGTCACCTTTAAACACCACGTATATGAAGTGATAGATTATTGTAGAATTGATTTCTTGAAGAAGGATTTATCACGTTTAATCGGAATTCAAACCCAACGATTAGTCAACAACATAAATAAGCACTCAGTAGACTTCATTGTCATTTTGTCTAAACAGGTAAGGATTCAGATTTCAGCCTAACAAATCTGGTTATACGATCGTTTTGTAGTGAGATAAATTTTACTACAGACACTTCAGATTTATTCCTCTTTAAGTGGATGTTAATTATTATAGACGAAAATTTCCGGGACAAATAATGTTCGAAATATTACGAATCAACTGTGTGCTTTCAGCGGTGATCTTAATATCCGGCATCAAATAAACCTTAGTTACAAATATGATTTAACGGATCTACGCGTTTGATTCACATAAAAAAATCTGCATTTACCATTGTATGAAGTTTCTACGGAATTGAATTACCTACAAGTTTAGACAAAATGAATTTCACAGAATAATTAAGAAATATATGAATACAATGAAAATACTTACTAACCTATCCACATCATAACCAGTTATGTAATGCCATGTAGGAAGATAACGTTTATTCAGTTTGTTTTCTATGAACTTTTTCATTTTTGTATATTCATTTCCATACATGTGCAATGCTGCAATAACAGTGCTTATAACGTCCATTTGCATTTCTTCATCCATAATTACTTTTTTAATTTGTATTGATTTTTCATGAATTCTGAATCTCTTCATAATTTCTTAAAAGTAATTACGATTGTTTTATTTTAAGAATAACTTATATAAGTCATAATATCTATCACATGTGTTAATCTTTTAAAATCAACGAACATGTTTTTGATTGCATAGTATGTTATACAGGTTACATTTAAGTTACACTAGTTAAAAGAAAAATACAATATGAGCACATGAAATTAAAGAAATACATTACTAATCTTATGGGTGATTAGTTACTCATTCTCTTTTCGATTTAAATTTTAAAGTGATAACTTAGAGGATTACCATCTGATTAACATAAAATCTATGACTTGTTATTATAGTACATCACGTGTTTAAATTATACATTGGTAGTTAAAATTACCATATTATGGTGGTAATTAGAGCTGTTATTTTACTGGTATTTAAAATATGAACATCAAATGTATGTGGTGGATTAAAATATATCTAGAAAACTTCTGTGTCCAAACTATTAGTTAGTTCTTTATCAACATTTGTGTAGTACATAGCGTTTTCGATACTAATCAGTGCGATAACTTTAGAACATTTATCTTTTTAATATCATTTAATATTTTACAGTCACCAATGAACGACTCCTAACTCAAATAAATCGCTTAGTACCCATGATATTAGTGTTGTACCTTGAAAGTTGTTTTCTTTAATAATTTGGTGATAATTAACGAGTAGTGTACTTTTTATTGGGTCAATCTCAGTCCATTTACATTGTTTAGGTTCACATTATAAACTTTAAGTTCTGCAGGCATAAATTTAATCTTTTTTTATAACTCGAAAACCAGTGAACAATATTTTAAAAATCACCATAAAAAAATCAAAAACAAAGAATATTAACCAGATGAAATTCTCCTGCTACGTAATTTATTCACATGACTTATTTTATTATTATTACTATACTGGTTATACCATGACACATTTCAACGAATCATTCTATCCTTACGTAAATGACGTTTTGAATTTACAAAATGACACATTTTTGAAGTATTCATGACGTAACAGCTTCAAAAGTTTCGCGTTTTCAATGTATAACATTGTTTAATTCACTAGCGTATCTTATTTTGGCCGTCGTAAAATAATACAACAATTATGGAATTATAATTATAAAGTCTGATGACGAAGTTATTGAAATCAATTTTTTGCTCAATTATTCTTTGTTATAAATAACAATAACAAGTAGTAACAACCAGTCAGTTTTTTGGGCATATGAATACCGGGCTATGGTCGGAACTAATTGTGTAATATTTAACTTGATGAAGATATGATAAGTATTAGATGGAATGTTTAATAAATGATATGGTGGACAGAAATCGTTAGGAATACTCAAAAACAATCAGTGTACTTTATTATTATTTATTGAACAAGGATTTTATATGACATTTTGTTTGTTCATTACAATTTTTCCGATAGAGTATGGCTAGTGGTAGCAGAAATCACAAATATTGTTTGAAAACTCTGGTTTTGAAGTAAACCAGTAATTAGAGTTACGATAACATTTATTATTATCGACTTTTTCATTCTAGATTTTTGACGGAGTAAGAAATCACATGCCATATGAATCTTTTTTGTCCTTATGATTTTAGCTTACTTATTCAGTTACAATACATCGGTCTACATGGGGTGCTACATAAAATTTCAAGCCTACACTCCTAAAAAAATGCATGGGTTACAGATTAAAAAAAGTTATAATTGTGTGTTGAATTTTATTACTGATTAAATGAAGCTCCTGATAGAAAAAGATATTTTGCAAAATCAGTTAGTCATTCAGCTACAACGTAGAACTAGGCACACATATGCATCGGTCCAAGTTGCCATACCTCATTAGCACAACAAGATGGACACCAAATTTATAGAAGTAATTACTTCAATGGTAGTAATATATAAAAGGAAGATTGTGTATAAGGCCATAATACAGGAAGAAAGAATTAGACAGGTATCAAGTAATTATAATCTTGCGATTTAAGGGAAAATAGAAAGTGTATACACCAACGCCATTGTGATCGATTCTGAGCCATGTCACCCAGAGTCTCCAACCATTGGTTATGATTGTCACGCTGACCTCAATCAAGTAGTCTGCATCTATCGACATGGCTCAGACTAGAAGTTAGTGAATTCAATGATTGATGTCAAGTTTCGGTTCGGCAAAATAATATTCTGTCAAACCGTACAGTTGTATAGATTGATCAAATATAAAGTAAATTTAGAAATTAACAATTTGGATCATGAATACAGAATCTGTTAACCGAAATTCACACACAGATTAAATCTTAGACAAAATTTATTACATGGTTAGTTTTATAGGCTAGCAAACATTATATATTAATACAAACATACTTTAAAGAAAGTTCATATCACTCAATATTAACAATGTAGTAATTTTCATTTGATAAAATATGAGATTCATCATAAAGTATTTCACAAATAAAGACAGTTAAATAGGGTAACGCATAATTTCTAACCAATTATTAATAAAGTAGTGAATACTAATTGTAGATATAAACTCTTTAAAAAAAAATGAAATGTTATAACTAGTCTTTACTCTATAAGAAAACAAAACAAAATGGCCATAGATAAATCTCGTGCAGTAATAGATAAATCAGATATGATACCTGAAATGGAAGATGATGCTGTTTATGTAGCTGCAATCGCAATGGAAAAGCATAATATTGATATGCATATTGCAAGTTATATTAAACATGAATTTGATCGTAAATACAAAGCAACATGGAATTGTATTGTTGGTAAAAATTTTGGTAGGTAAGTAATCATTTACAAAAAAACTAAATTGGTTTGATTTAAAATTACGAATAAATTATATTTTGTATTTGTATTAGTGTAGATTCTAGTGGAAATAGTTTTTTTTTGGAATAAGCATCTTGATTATGAATTCCCATTAGTTAGTTACTGTAAGCGAACTATATCGAATTCTTTTTTTTTGTTTATTTCTTTAGCTTCATACATCATGACAGAGGAGGATTTGTGAGCTTTCGTTTAAATGGTTTAAATGTACTATTGTTTAAGCTGGGATAAGTTTAAAACAATACCTTGTATGAATCATCTATATACCGTTTTAATAAGAATTATATGATTGAATATTTCTAGTTGTTATTAAAATAAATAAATACTTCAAGGTTGATTATTTTCTATACAGTTTGCTTGAGCTGGAATTTTGCTTAACATAAATTTAAAATACACAATAAGGATTAAGTTAACTATGTTTAAATCAGAATCTGCTGTCCATTATCAGTGTAATTTAGGAAGCTTAGAGTATATTTTATTGAATACAAAATACAAAACTGCAGTTTATATTACTAGAATTGAAGTGAAAAGTAGGGTATATAGCATAATTATTTATATAAGTGTATCATTAATAGTACATAAAAATAACGAGTATGTTTAATTATTGTTTCCAATATATTTTGTTAATTAAATCAAACTTATTCAATTTTAATCAGATAGGTTTTTTTTTAGATATTATAATAATTTAATAATTGAACTCATGAGTCAATTAAAGATAGACTACCATAAACAGTGCGCATCCACTACTCTGCTGAGGAGTCCTATACTAACACGAAACGGCCGTCCAGTGCTTCCAGGTTTACCATGGTGGTCTAGCTCTAACTGACACATGAATTTAACTATTATATTCAATTTTGTCGCAAAATTAAAGAGTACTTAGAAGTTATTTAGTGGGTTCTTCTCAGTAAACTAATTAAGCTTTATCAATTTTTACTGAAAGTGTTGCATAATCGATTCTGTAAGTTAATAAATCAGGTAGTAATATCAGTATTTGAAAATAAATATTTCAAACGTTCTAATTAGAAATGATGATCTACGTTAAAATTAGCCGAAGGTGCCTTTCTCATTCCCAAACAGTATGGTTAAATGTTCTATTGAGTACTTGAAGGTATTCATTATAGTAAATACGTCAGTGTACCAGTGTAGTGAACAAGAACACCAGTGGGGACAATCGAATTTATTAAACATAAAATCACAGGACTTGTTAACAAAATCTAACAATCATAAAATAAATTCTTAATTTGCAAAATGTCCACCAATTGTCTCAAAATGACTCAGACTTCAATGTTCTTGCATTTTCATACAAATTACATCCTGTTTCCATTCTTTACTGTTCGATCCTCTTGTCTCTTTGTTGCCAGACCTTCTGTTCACGACTGACATCATATACTACTTATGTCAATATAATTAGCACACACCAGTAGTATACGTAAATATATTACCTAATATTATTTTTATTTGAAAATCCACTGTCTAATTACAAAATATTAGTCCAATTATGTAGTTGAGGTTTATTATCTTTAATTTCATATAAATCTATTCTCCGATAACGGAAAATATTGTAGGAAATTACATCAAATCTGTCATTAGGAAAACGATGAAAAGTGTAAGAGTTTAAGAAAGTCTTCTAATGGTTATTTATTTATCTGCAAGAGGTTGTAAAGGTTGTTGAGTTTTTTTATTGAGATCATGAATCGATTAATGTTAGACTACCATTGAAAACCTGGTATGGAACTCCTCAGCAGTGCGCATCCGCAATTCGAAGCATTAGTTATTCCTTAAGCTGTACATCATGAGGGATCGTTAATTTAAGATTTGAAGATAAGGTGATCTGTTGATTCATACGTTTTCTAAACATATCGTCGTTTAAGTTTATCAGGATTTTTCGAAACTTCAGTTTATAATTCCATTTCTATGTATACGCTTTTCGGAACTGATAAAGTGAATTTTATTTGTCCATCAATTCACACATCAAAATTTTTTATACAATATCAATTTTCGTTATTTGACATATTATTAGATGAAACTGTTGATGAAATCGTGATCATGGAACAAAATAAATCGTAGTTCTTATCATTGTTATTATAACTGTTGAATGATGGACGGATGATAAATATTGATTTTCAGATAGTATTTTGCCTTAATGCTAACTATCATTTGATTTAAAGTTATGTATACGCCAAGAAGACTTTGTTACAAAGAGGAGATTTCTGTAATGCACCGATGTCTCTTGAAATGTAAGAGTTTCCATAATGGTTTAGGCATTTTAATGTATTTCCAAGTATTATTTACTAAAAAACAAGATCTTTATTGTCATAAACAGAGTAGGAATTATCTTTTGAATTATCCGCCCAGTTTCTTTGACAAGTTATATCTGCTTCATTGGAAGTGATACATTTTACTGAATAATGACAAAGTTATATAAAAATATTTGTACCGATGACAACAATTGTTTACTTTACACAAGATAAATGATAACAGAATTGCTTGTTACTTAATTGGTGAAGAAATTATGCTTGTTCATTTAGTATTATTTATTCGCCTGTGATTTATGTGCATTTTAGTGCACTTAAGTTTACCCTGTTGATCGTCAGAAAGTTTATGCCTTAACATAATTCCTAGTTTTATTTAAGGCTGCCATACAGCCTGAGCAAGATAATATAAATATCTTCAATCCTTTTGAAATGCGACAGATGCCACAAAGTAATATGGTTTTTCCTAAGAAGATATAAAAATAAGAGTATAGAGTGATTGATATTACCTATTCCAAGGTAATCAAGTAATGTTTCTACTAACCATTAAGGACAGATTTTCATTTAAGTCGCCAAAAGTTAAATCTTGATATCACTTGGTAAGGGAATTTTTTTCATGAGAAACCAATAACGTTTTAATCAGACGATGACAAATAATTTTATTATATTTTCCAGTTAAGTAGCTAGGTTCTGTCTCGTTCAAGTGCTACGGTTACCTAGGCATTCCTCTTAGGTATAAAGGTTCCGTCGTTATTGTGACAATCATGCTCATTGTATACAAAATTTATTTAAATTTCATAAACTACTTTTAAATTACAAGTAGTTGTGCTAAATTATGGATGTTGGTTTATGCAAAGTAGACTTTGAAATAGTATTTAAAGTTTGTCATATGCCATGAAGAAGTAAGGTTGAAGTGATAGTGCTTCTTCAGTCATATTAAAAAAAGGGATTTTGGCATTATGAGTTAACGTGACACTGTTTCAGTCATCTAATAGAACATTGAACATTTGTAAATACAATGTTTTAGGGGAGTTATAAATTTTCTACGTGATGAGAATTTACATGAGAAAAATAATTGGCTAAAAACTAAATCAGTTTACAGATAGCAGTTGAACTACATTATTCTTATTCACTATTTATATACAGTTAGGCGACATTACATTCTTGGTAAAATTAAGTTACTGATACAACTTAAATGTAACATATAAGTGTACAGTCCATAATACCAAACTACACTCCAATTCATTTAATGAATTAAACATGATCAAGTCATGATGATATTTATCAATCCAAGTAAGTAATGTCAATTATCGAGGACAGCTGTAATGTTCTTTATAAAGGATGCAATTACTACAGAGTATGATACCTTGAATGTTCCCAAGATATACAGTTTGAGGCGAATTTAAAGCGTAAATACTCTTCTAAATATTTACCAACATTTCTGATTAGAAAATTCATGATAAAAAGATTAAAATGTAGAGGACTGTATTATTTATTTAAGAAGAATTTGTTATGTTTTGATAAAGACGTATTTACAAATAAACAGGATGGTTCTTTACTGAGGTGTTTCTATTTTTCACGAATTAATATATCATCCGTGTCGGGTAGAGAGAGATATCTACCTCAGTACAATAGAAGATGGTCGCACAATTTCGCTGATTGGTTGAGGTTAGAGAATAACACCGTTTGAAGCCGACTTAGTAGTCTAGAGTTAAGCGTTCGCGCATGGGACTGAAGGCCCTGGTTTCAAACCCTGTGAGCGAGATCGTGGATGCACACTGCTGAGGAGTCCCTTAATAGGACGAAATGGCCGTCCAGTGCTTCCAGGTCTTCAGTGGTGGTCTAGCATCAATTGGTTTACGACGTCAACCAAAATAACTTAGTAATCTACACAACCCCATACTGATAATGTATCACCGTTAAATACGTGTACTCAGCAGTGAAGTATATCAATGGTAATACTTCCCTATTTGTTATATATTTCACAATAGGATTAGATTTTGAATATCTGGAGAAATTTCTGCTCATTCAATAATTTAAAAAATAATCATGTTTTTCATGTGTGAAAAATTGGAAGTTAAAATGGTAATGTAACCTTTTTCATTTTGAATTCACATAAGAATATAAAACGGTTATTAGATCATGTCGAATCAAATGTTTATATCGTTTTAATAATTAGGGAAACCATGTTTACTATCTGATAAGGAAACTATTACACAACTGTTCTCTCCATCTTTACAATGTTGAAAATTACCACTGATAAACATTTGATAAGAATTCTACAAACGTTTCGTCCTATAATTTCATTATCGTGAACTATCTCCATGAGAGTATGTTGAGAATTTTCAGAGAGGAAGTTTTCACCAGTTCGGTCATTGGAATCTATGACAAGTGATTAAATAGAAAACTTAAACCAGAATAAGACTAAGTTCATAATTTACTGAAAGTTCACAATAGTATTAGTATTAGTAATATTTTCTCTCAACACAGTAGGAGAACCCAGTAGCTCCTACGATTAAAGAAAAGAGCTTCGCAACGGTGCGCAAATGAATCGCTGGAGAAAGCAAAGTAAACGGATACGTTAACAATTTACTCTGTAACTCGTGCATGTGATTAGAGAAATTGATATCTGTAATACAGCCGGACACCTTACAGCCAACACTTTTCTGTGGTGTAGACAGACGCATTTTGTCTACACTTTCCTATCACCTTTGGAAACTCCTGAACAACCCAAAATCGTTAAGAACTGTGGTGAACACACCAGTTTGGAATGTGGAACTGCCGCAAGTATGCGCCACATGTATATATAGAATGCCCAAATAAAAGGTATATACATCCAACATAACACACATAAGGATAGATGCTCACAGTTAAAAGTGTATGTTACATGTGTATAAAGAATGAGTAACCCTACAGCTACGCATACTATAGTACACAGGTACTCAAAACAATTCAGAAATAAGTCGTCATGTACGATACGCTCTCATCACGATTATACCATTAGTAGTTTTAGTGCTGACTCCGGCG